GAAGACATCGTCTTTCGACATCGCATTCACCGTTACATTCATATCCGAAGCCGTCGGACGACAGTTTACTTCTGGGTATTTGCGGTACTCGTGGGGAATGTTGTGATCCCATTGGATGAGCGATGAGGCCTTGAAATACGCTTCGGCCGAGTATTTCGTATACAATCTCCTAAATCCGGTTCACTTTTATGATAAACTCAAAGAACTTGCCGGCGATTCCATTGTCTTAGAATTAGGTCCGCATTCAGTGTTCGGCAAAATAGTGACCGAAACTCTTGAGAACTCGTCGTATATATCGCTCATCAAAAAGAACTCAAACGATACAAACGTTGATTTGTTTTTCTCCGGTTTATCACAACTCTATGAATTGGGTGTCAATCCATCCATCGATAAGCTGTACCCACGGGTGGAGTGGCCGGTGGCCAGGAATACACAGTCCATCTCATCGCTCATCCAATGGGATCACAACATTCCCCACGAGTACCGCAAATACCCAGAAGTAAACTGTCGTCCGACGGCTTCGGATATGAATGTAACGGTGAATGCGATGTCGAAAGACGATGTCTTCTACTACGACCACTGCATCGATGGCAACGCTGTACTGCCGGCCACCGGGTATCTAATGCTGGCGTGGCGTCAATTGGCCGCAAACATGGGTCGCGTCTGGACTTCCGTTTCGGTTGTCTTTCAAGACATTCAACTCAGAAGAGCGACGTTTCTGTCGGACAACGGATCAAATAAACTCAAAGTCCGATACTTTGCCAACACTGGTATGTTTGGGGGCCACCAAAGGGGGCAACTCTCATGTTGTTATACTCACAAACAACGTGATAGGTTTTTTGAAAAAGTTTTTATTCATTTTAATAAGGGGTTGACTTTTATAAGACATTATTTATGAATGTTTTATTATTATGCCTAACATTACGGACACTATTTTAAAAGTTGAAATGAATAACGTATTGACTAATAGTAAATAAAGACATTAAAAATATAACTGTAATAATAACGGCATAAAAACATGTGATAAGAGTTGTGTAAAAGTGAAATGACCATAATGTAAATGTTATATAATTGCGTTGAGTTACCTTAATTAGTAAATACATGTGTAATTGTCCCAGGTGATTTCGTGGTGTTGGAGAACGAGAACGTGTGCTGCACCGGACGGATCCACTCCACTGGCGATGACGTGCTGTTCGCACAACACCTGCTCTGCGAAGAGGAGGCGCCCGCCGGTGCTGAAGACACCCGTGAATGGCATTCATTGGACAGACGGGACATATATAAAGAGTTACGACTTATGGGCTATGATTACGGACCGAAGTTTCAACGCTTGTCTCAAATCCGGACCAATAATTACCGACAGATTAGGGGTCGTAACGAATGGGACGGAAATTTGGTGACATTTCTTGACGCGACTCTACAGTCGATGGCATTCGCCGCTCCCTTCAGGAAACTGATGGTTCCGGTGATGATTAAGTCGCTACGAGTGGACCCGAGGGTACTGTTCGATGCCGTGAGACGATTGCGCGCACCCGACGACCAGTCGGACAACTCTCACATCGACACCACTGTTGCCGATGAGGTCCACAAGTTTACTGAGACTGAAGTGGATAAGACCCGCACCACTCAGCGAGAGATGGATGAGATGCAAGACTTGGCCACCGATACGATGAATGAGCTGCGCGACAGGTTTTGCCATTTTAGGGCACATTTACCACTCTATTTCGACTCCAAGAGACAATTGTTGGTCACTTATGGCGTAGAGGTTGAGAGTGTGATGGCGTTTCCCATACCCCGCAAACTGGACACAAGTGATCTCGTTCTCGATTCCTATGCATTTGTGGCCAACGATGACATCGCAGCCATTGATGAGTGCGACAGAAAACAATTGACTCATTATATTGAGGTTTGCTTTCATTATTGCATTCATTTTTGTGAAATTAAAATTATTAATTAACTCTTAAATGGATTATAAGGTTTGCAATTATATGGCATTAAAAGTGAATCAATTAGCCGTTAAACAAATGAAATATGAGTTCAATATGAAGAATATTACCGAAGATGTGATACAAGAATTCAAGAATGAAAACAATGAAAATCATGTGTTGTTTCGTATATTTGATAAAATTCTCATTGAAATGATTGATGAAAATAAGAACAACACAAATGATAATCAATTGGAGAAAGTTTTGGCTGAAATTAATGTGAATCCGGAATACGATTTGAATAAAGATATGGTAAACCAGATCCAGAAGAATGAACCCCTAATTAGATCTCTTATTGATATTGTTTGTGAAAACCTAATACCAAAACGTGAGATAAAAGTGACAGAAATTAATTTAAGTAATAATTTGATGGCCAAAGAAGTGGATCAGTTTATAAGCAATTTTCAAATAACACCAATTACTGTAGACTACAGTCTATTTGTTAAGTCAATCAATAATGTGAGCGAAGACTACAAAGAAAAGGCAATTGAAACGGATTTTACAAATCCATTGGCATTGAAATCAAATGATTTGATTGTATTTCGAGATTCACAGGACTTATGGCAAAGAGATTTGAATGAATTAATACAAGATATGTATGACTCCATACAAACCAATGGCTTTTTGTTGTCTGTATTTCGATATAAGTTTACGGAACCGGAGATTGCGTTCATGTCTTTGAATGAAGAGATGAAAATGAATTGCAATAATAAAGTACTCGATAAAAGAATCAATGATTTTATAGACACAGCAAATAATATGGGTTTTGCTTTAATAAGCAGTAAATGCGATACAATTGCAACGAAAGCCCTATTGTTTAGAAAAATACCAAAAAAGTCTTTGGTTGAGAGAAACGACACAATAATAATTATTGACACGAATTACAAACAATGGTTTAATTTATTGAAAGAAAAAGTGTCTGAAATGAAAGATAACGAACAAAAGGATCAACACATATGGCTTGTGGCGAATGACTCGTGTATTAATGGAATCATAGGTTTAATGAATTGTTTGCGTTTAGAACCGGGAGGAGAGAACTTCCGGTACATCTTTTATATGGACACCAATACTGACACTAACATNAATGAATTGTTTGCGTTTAGAACCGGGAGGAGAGAACTGCCGCTATATCTTCCATATGGACACCAATACTGACACTAACATTGACTTCAATACTAAACCCTATTCTGATATATTGGCCAACGATTTGGTCGCGAATGTTATCAAAGGGGGAAAACTGGGAACTTATAGACACTTAAAACTTCCCAAAGATTGCGATAAAGTTGTTTCAAACGAGTATTTTTTAAGTTTGGGCCAAACGAGAGACTTATCATCTTTTCAATGGTTTGATTCGAAAAATATAGTCGCAAACGATGTCTCATATGATCTCAATAATAATAAATTGACTCAATTGCCGGTTCATATATACAGCTCTGGCCTCACGTTTCATGACGTTATGGTCGCTACAGGTCTCTCCCTCTCTCTCTCTCTCTCTTACACACACATTGAATAATAATTTTGAAAATTATATCTTTAGGTCGTATTCCCAGCGGATCTCAATTGTTATTTACTGATTGTCTGATCGGATGTGAGTTTGCGGGCCGTCGTGTGGACACTGGGCAACGGGTGATGGGTTTTGAAATGAGCCGCTGTTTCGCCACATCTATCAATGCGGCCGAACATCTCATGACTCACATACCGGAGCACTGGTCTATGGATGAGGCCGTATCCGTTCTGAGCACACATAGCACCGCCTGGTATGCGCTCATCGAAAGGGCTAATCTCAAGAAAAGTAAATATAATATTAATATTCGTGAAAATAATTACTTTAAATTATTTATTATTTCTCAGATGAAAGTATTTTAATACATTCGGGCGCCGGAGGTGTGGGACAGTCGGCGATAATCATCTGTCAGTACTATAACTGCGATATCTATGTAACGGTTGGGACGGAAGAGAAGAAACAGTTTTTGATGAATGAATACAATATACCGGAGAAGAAGATATTCAGCTCAAGAGATGTCACTTTTAAATACAAGATCAAAGAGTTGACAGACGGTCGCGGCGTTGATATTGTGCTAAACTCATTGGCCGGGGATTTACTTGAAGCCAGTTATGCCTGTGTGGCCAATAGGGGGCGATTCCTGGAGTTAGGCAAATATGATTTGATCCAAAACAAGAAGTTAGGAATGTTTGACTTCTTGAGGGACGTGGCGTTCATTGGCGTCGCCGTCGATATATGTTTTGTCGAGACAACAGACTTTGCCATCAATTTCTTTGAATGGATGCATAGGAACAGTGGGACGGGTTGTGTCCGACCAATCAATACAACTGTGTTTAGAGCCACCGAAGCGGAGAAAGCCTTCCGATATATGACGACCGGTAAACACATCGGAAAAATAGTGATTAAGATTAGAGATGAAGAATGCGATAGAAATCGTTTGCCCAATGATTTGAAACCAGCCATCAATTTGTTGACCACTTATAAGACATATTTTAATCCAAATAAAATGTATGTAATTACTGGTGGTTTGGGAGGATTTGGTCTCGAATTAGTTCACTGGATGTCATATATGGGCGCAAAGAAGTTTGCGCTGACGTCGAGGACCGGCATTACCACCGATTATCAGAAGTTTATTATCAATCGATTACTAGAATTTGGTGAACAATATAAGGTGTTTGGCATCAAAATAATGATCTCAACCGCCGATTGCCAGACACTGGAGGGCGCGACACAATTAATCGAAGAAACGGCCGCTTTTGGACCCATTGGAGGGATATTTCATTTGGCACTCGTATTGAATGATTGTCTTATTGAAAATCAAACAGAAGACAAGTTTTGCGAATCCATTGACACAAAGCACAAGATCTTCGCAAATTTGGATCAATTGAGTCGACAATTGGACTATAAATTGGATTATTTTGTTGTGTTTTCGTCCATCACTTGTGGTAAAGGAAACGCCGGGCAATCAAACTATGCTTTCGGAAACTCCATGTGTGAGCGTATATGTGAAGAGAGACGTAGGGATGGTCTGCACGGACTCGCCGTACAGTACGGACCCGTCGGTGATGTCGGAGTGTTTGCTGATTCTGATCAACAAATGTTGTCATTTACTACTATACAAACCCAGCGAATCAACTCGTGTTGCGATGTTTTGGACAAATTATTGGCAATTAAACAGCCAATTGTCACATCATATGTGAGTTTCAATATATTAAATAATGTGATAAATTAAGAGCTGACTAATTGTAATAATTGTTAGGTTCGGGCAAAACATAGCAAACAAAGCGGCACTAAATCCAAACGCATAGTGAAAGAGCTGTGGCGAGCGTTAGGTATAGACCCGGACACTACACCCGAGCACTTGACTCTCGGCGAGATTGGCATAGAGTCTATGTTTGCGGTTGAGTTACAGCAGGAGTTGTATCGGGAGTACAACGTTAAGCTCAGCATTAATCACATCAAAAGCATTACCGTTAAAATGCTTAAGGACTACGAGAGAGGCAGCGAAGAGCAGATCCGCAAACACTTGGATGAGGTGAAGGCCGCCCGACAGTCGCTGTTGCGCTATAAGTTTGTAATACCCAACGAAACTCACGTCCGTTTGAATGCCGTCCGCAACGGGAGACGAGCCGTGTATTTGATGCCAACACTTCAGGCGGACTTTACGCTGTTTGAGACAATTGCCAAAAAGTTGGACCGTCCGGTCATTGGCCTCAATTGGACCCGCGATGTGAGCCAACTGTCGACCACGAAAGAGGTCTGCAAATACTATGTGGAATTGATGGGTCGATTGGAGCCGTCGGGCGGTTACGATGTGTTGGGCTATTTGGACGGCGCACTCGTCTGCACAAAACTATTGCGCAAAGGATTGGCTGATAAGGCGGTGATCGTAGACGTGATGTCAGGCCTGAGTGTCGCCGACGAACCGCTGAACGACGAGAACATCAGTGATTTAATGTTGTTATTTATTGGCCGCGAACTGCCCTCAGCTGTGAGGGATCGGTTGGTTCGGGAGGTGAAAGCGGAGCCCGATTTGAACGCTAAGATTAAACGGATTAGCGATGAGATTAAGGATTTTGCGGGAAAGGGTTTAATTGCCACTGATTTGGAGGAATTGCTGCACATTATGGTTAAGAGGATACAAATGTTGTCCGATTATCGGGTGTCCAAAAGGCGAAAGCTAACTGATGTGTGGAAAATGAAACTTGGTAAAAAGTTTGCCATGCTCACCGGACGTTTGATTATGATCAAACCGTTTGAAAATAAATCCATGGACGAATTGCGGGAACTTGTTGATAAAACACGCGATATCTACTTATTACCTAGCTCGCAAGTAAGTTTAATTTTCAAATTTAGCAATTGAGAGAGAGAGAGAGAGAGAGAGAGAGAGAGAGAGATTTAATTAATCATATTATTTGTTGTTTATTTTATTACAGGAGACAAATGAGAACATTACCGTTGATTGTGTGAACACAACTGACTGCCTGTCCATCACATCAGTTGCCATTGAAGAGAAAATACTGGAAGTGTTGGGGAACTAATTACTAGTTATGTAACTCCATAACGATAATTATTACATTTGCTAATGTTGTATGAATTATGCATTTAATTATTACCACATATGATTTGCTATAAAATACAATTCCTTAATTAATTATGGATGATAATAAATCAAACGTGATTAATTGAATATTATACAAAAACAATTTATTAAAATAACATTTTTTATACAATTAATGATTCTTAAGTACAGTTTTTTGCACACATTTATATTGCGATAACTGAATGAAAATACAATTGAATGCAGTGTTATATTAAGGAATGGTTTATATGGTCAACAAAATGGACCGTAACTTATCATGTGTTGTGAAGAGTCGATTGCCTTAATAGCTGTCGTCGTCCATATCGTATGGTATCATTTGAATGAGACCCGGGTTTGAACCGCTGGCCCAACCGCCGTAACCACCACCGCCTCCTCCGTGACCACCGTTTCCGCCCCCATAACCTCCACCTCCTCTACCGCCACCACCACTGCCACCGTAACCGTTTCCGCCGCCTCCTCCTCCGTGACCGCCACCACCACTACCGCCATAACCACCACCGCCTCCGCCGCCATATCCACCGCCTCCACCTCTGGGCGTTCCTTTAGCTATAATAGTCTGGATGTCCTCTTTGACTGGTCTGATCTCTTGTATGATCTTTCTATAGGGTGTGATAACCTCCCGGACCTCTTGGATGATTGGTTTCTTCACCTCATGGATGAGTCGGTGCGGTTCGTCCATCGATGAGGTGTGTTGTGTGTCTCCACTGCCCGGTTGATGGCTTTGCAGTACTTTGATGTTACTCGAGGCCGACCTGAAGTGTATGGTTAGGGGCAGTGAAGAGGCGCCCACATCCACCGTCTGGGGCTCTATTTGCGCCGGTTTTATATCCACTTTACGGATCTCAACCGAGTGTCGCGTTTTGATGGCCGCAGGAATTGCATGTCCGCCGCCCCCACCATAGCCGCCGCCGCCCCCACCATAACCACCGCCGCCGCCGCCTCCATAACCTCCCCCATTGCCGCCTCCACCACCGCCATAGCCTCCACCGCCACCTCCATGACCGCTATTGCCTCCACCACCGCCTCCATAGCCACCGCCTCCGCCTCCATGGCCTCCACCACCACTACCACCGCCTCCTCCATAGCTATTGCTTCCTATATTACCGCCACTATAACCACCCGACTGTCCACATATGACAGCGTTTATGGCCAGTGCTGTCGTTATGATGAAAATCTAAATCAATAAAATTGCACATGCACAATTATAATGAATATATTACAAAATATATTGTATTGGCTGATACAATGTAAAGGCTTTACATATAATACATACTTTAAACATTTGTAATGTTTTATAAACTAATTATTAATAAATATATAAATATAATTTATGGTAATTTGCAAACCATAGAGATATGTAAAACTAAATTTTAGTGTTTTATGAAACACTTTTGCCGTTTAAACACACCGTTTGTGTGTCTCTCATGTAATGATAAAACAAACTTATATTTGCGATCTTTATATACAAACATTTTGGTCTTCAAAAAAAGTAGATCCAAAAGAACCCGCTTTTTATACATTTAATTAGTAAACCACACGAAAGACATATACAAAACACCTCACAAACACATAATTGCATGTATTTTATGAGTCGTGTGATTGTATTATGAATGACATGAATGTGTTGTTTTTTAATAAATTTTGTTATTTAATACATTACCTGAAAGAATAGAGTTATGATTATTAGTGCTTCATATTATGAAAAATAAGTTTAACAAAGTTTACGAGAGAGAAAGAGAGAGAGAGAGAGAGAGAGAGAG